ATCTTTTATGGAACCGTTAATGTATACCGTTGGGTTTGCATGCCAGGATTTGCCTGAGCCCCAGCTGCGTCCCTACCATGCTTACATGCCAGCAATGAAACCTCCCCTCTTGGCTTTTGGGGGACAGTTTAAGAAAAGAACTTCAGAGCATTTAGATGCAGCGCTGCTCTGCTCAGGGTGAGAGCTGCCAGGTTTCTGTGGGACAACCCCCCCCCCCTCCCCAAACCCCAAAGAAATGTGACTGGAAAGCAAAAACGGATTTTGAAGATTTGAGTCACTTCTTTTCTTTAATGTCTAAAGGTCCTATCTGGGATGTTCTCTCTATTAAAGAGACTGTTTTCTTCTGGTATGTAAGGGAGAGCATCACGGGCATCACCACAGCCTTGCAAAAACGGCAAGATGGCATACGTTTCTGACCCGAAACACGATCGTTTTGTTCATTTGGACTCTGTTGACAGGAAGGCGCACGATCTGCTGAATGACACAAGAGTCTGCCGAGTAAAACTGGAACAAGGAGGTCGGCTCAAAGAAGTGCCTGCTATTTTCACAGGCATAGTGAGACGATAAATCCAGTATTTCATCTTGAATAGACAGGAGAAGAAATGATGAGGTGTCTTCTTCTTCTTTTGTCAGATTTTTATTTATTTGGGGGGGTTTTTGCATCATTTTCGTCCAATCATCCTGCAAAACTGAGGCTAAACCCACTCTCACTGTTGAGTGGAGTTATTCATTGATGAAAACGCATGATAGGGGACAGGATAGTGAACATTGGTATCAGCTGGACGTAAAATTCACCTGCTGGCAACTAGCAACACAGAGAAGGCAATAATCTGACAGTGTAGTGGTCAAAGCATGTTTCTGCTGCCCCCAAGTGGCCAAAAAAGTTAAAGCAGCTACAGTGTTTGTGGTTGCCTTGGTCCTGGTCTGACTATGAACATTTCTCTGCATTGAATTTTTGGCTTGTGAATGAGACCTCATCATTTCTTCCAACCCCACAACACAGCAGGCCTCTGCAGTGGCTTACTGAACTGTTACTTGCTAGTGCAACCCCCCCATACCCCCCACCAACCCCCTCCCAGCCTTTCTCACCCCATCGTTTATTAAGAGACTGAATGTAAGTGAGAGATTATGTATGAAGCAAGTTCTACGCCACTGGATCATACAAGTTTCTTCTTTGTTAACAGCTTGTCGTTTTATAATTGTGTTAATAGTGCATGCTGTTTCATTTTACAAGAGCCACAATGTGGTGTTACATTTCAGAGCTGCTGTACAGCGTGGTGTGTGAACTGGAATTATGGGAAAGGCCATTTTCATGTTATTCCATGGCTACAGGGCAGCCAGATTCAATCTTTTCAACATTGTCAAAAGCAGATGGATGACTATATGTAAGTTTGAGAATGATGTTGTACTTTTGTGGGATTTGTATTAGGCTGCTGTGTACCACAGACCAGCATGCATTGATTCTTCCTTAAATCCAGGGATTACTACGCTTTGGAATTATTACATAATTATGTTAAAGACATAATTTTCAGTAACAGTAGCCCAGGTCATCTTTTGGGGATCTCATATGACACATGTGTAGGAGTCTGTGTATTTTAAACCTTTACAGCAAGAGAGCTTGAGCGACATTAAGGTCATCTGATCAAAAATCACTTTATGTTGAGAGATGAAGATGTATTTTCTTGTAAATAAAACGATACAATGCAACCTCAGAAAAATGAACTTGCTTCTTTTTCAGCTTTTAAGTAAATGCTTGAGTTTAGCCCAGCTTTCAGTGCTGTTAAATAAATGATGATATTTGTACCACATGATGAGCTTTAATAGTTCTTTAAATTTAGCACAGGTCAGAGAATCATATAGGCTGGGCAATACTGGTCTTTTTGGAATTATGACAATGTGTCAGGAGTGCACGAAAAGACATCACATAATGTGTCCAGTACAGCAGCATCAGTGCAACTGTCAGCTAATCAATTCAGTTTTATTTATGTCTTACAAAATAACGACGCCTCAAGGCGCTTTATATTGCAAAGTAAAACACCTATGATGATAGCACTTAGCAACAGTAGGGAAAAAAAAACTCCCTTTTAACAGGAAGAAACCTCTGGCGTAACTAGGATCAGGCATGGGCAGCCATCTGCTGTTACCAGTTGAGCATGAGGGGAGGAAGACAGATGAGGACTGATTATTCAAGACCTCGTTTGTGACAAGAAGAATTTTAAAGTGAATTCTGGATTTAACAGGAAGCCAGTGAAAAGAAGCCGTTATGGGAGAATCATGCCGTCGCATTCTAGTACCTGTCAGTACTCGCTGCAGCATTTTGGATCAGCTGAAGGCTTTTCAGGGAGCTTTAAGGACATCCTGATAATAAAGAAATTACAGTATTCCAGCCAAGAAGTAATACATGCACAAACTAGTTTTCTAGTTTCTGTGAGACAGGATGTTTCTAATTTTAGATATATTGTGAAAATGTAATTATAGGCAATTATCGGCAATCACAGGGAGTAGAAAAGATGGATATAGCCACTGTGACAGCATCCACTGCTTAGTGGTTTTCAACAGTGCTATCGTGGTATTTTGTAACTGGACTTTACAGGAGAACAGCAGCCACCGCATTCTCATGTGACTGGCATGTTGTTGGCCAATGAGAACCCTACTTTCTGAATAAATAATTACTGCTCTTTTGTTCCTTCTAATATAGCTCTAAATGTGTATATATACACCATACAGAATAATAGCCAGTGTATAAATATCGGCAAACTGGGATTTTCCCCAAAGCTTCAGTGTCAGTCAGGCTCCAACAGAGGGTGCAGTCAGTGTCTGAATACAAACAGGAGAATCCCAGAGCTGAAGCTGTTCTATGAGTCAAACCAACACCCAGTTGATCTTTCAGACACCACAGACATTTTTCTTTGTCTTATTATCAACAAAATGAACTGTCATGTTCAAAAGTGATACATAAATGGGAAATAATGAGTCATGTTCCATGTTGCACAAGTACATAGTGAAAGGGGCTGTAGATGGACACACTAGTGTAGCAGATAGACAGAGTACATTGCATATACAACCAAAGAATGCATTTACTAAAGAAAATGCAGCCTGAATGCTGATAGATAAAAGGTTTGAGTTCATTTTTGTAATTGCTGAATCCTTGTTGAAAAGCTTGTTGAATGAGGTGAAATACACTGAATCATTCACCTGAAAGCCAAAGTGCAGAACTGTTGAAAACTGACGTTCACCCAGAAGAAGAAGTTCTTTCAAATTTGGAAAGTTGCTGAACGTCTTTAAAATGTACATCAGAACAACTGACTAATGACCCAAAAAAGTTAGAATGAATATTGAAAGCTCATATTCTTAATAAAATTATGTATTTTAAATGTCTAAACTCAAGAATCAGAACCTTTGCAGAATATGTGCTCTGTGTGTGTCTGTATGTGAGTGACATACAGAGAAAGAGGGGAACTGGCACCAGTTGAAAGGGTAAAATAGTTTTTAATCTTTAACTGTTTTGTGGGTTTAATTTCATTTAATTTCTTTTATTTTTATTCACATATTACACAGACTGCGTGTGCAGACTGAACAGGCTGAAGCAGAGCAGCACCTGGCCTATTTTCAAGTATCATTAAGGTTACAGCGTGTAACATTTCACCATTACATGTCAGTAGATTGCAGATTGCAGTCAACTGAATTCACTTTTCTTGTCCCAGAAAACCTAAACTCCTCAGCAATGTCCACAATTACATTGGGATACTTAAAGAGAAGCAGCAGGAAGCACAAAGCTCCAAAATGCTCACAACTCAAGAAGTAGTGACAGACATAGTTACCCACATCCTGCAGAGTTTCTGGGAGCTTCCTCCTCACCCCCTCTTAAACATGGCCTCCCAAAGGCTGAGCATACTCTCCATCAGTGTCACAAAGGCCACTTTGGATCGAATCTCCAAAACTTTTACAGCACTGAATAGCCAGACCATTTTCTCCTGCTCCATCAGGGACAACGTGGTCCAGACCATCATGAGAGAAATCTGATTTAAATGTATAAACTCAAGAATCTCAAATGAAAAACCAGCATATTTACCAAATATCTGCTCTGTGTGTCTGTCTGTGAGTATTAGAGTGTAAATTACAGAGAAAGAGGGGAACTGGCATCAAATGAACAGGCAAAATATTTTTTAATCGTTAAAGATTTTGTGGGTTTTACTTTAAGAATAATTGTGTGTTAGTGTTTAGACAAAGTATATACATACAACAGCTTTCAGTTGGACTGGAGTAAATACAGAGATACTGTTGCTCTGTGGCAAAGCCCTGTTAAATCTGCCATGAGGCACCTGCTGAAAAACTGCTTCTAAAAGTCCACGTTTTGAAGGTAAAATAATGACTGTAGACCAAAAACTGTGGACAAAGCAGCTTCTTACTGAGACAGCCAACATTTCATCCCATTGACACCCATTATAAAC